CGAAAATTTCTGCTATTGTGTTGAAAAACGCAGTGTCCCTGCTTTCTCCCATGTATACATATTATTAAACTTGGTATTATTTTCTCCTGCTAATCTGTCTCGTTAATTATTTGGTCAGCCATAAGAACCTTAAGAAAAAGGGCAGAGGGAGATTCTCCCTCTTCCCCCTACAAGGTCCTTCCTCTAGGCTCCATCAGACACGTCTATTCTGTTCTTATTTTTGCTTTTCGAGTCTGCCAATATCCTTGTCTAACTATGGTTCTATTTGTTATGCTAAGCTTTCTATCTTTTCCATCTTTTATTTATTTATTTGTACCAAAAAGTATAAAGTACTTACAAGCAGAAAAGCACAATCACCCAAACTCCCACTACCCACTGTTGATATTTTCGTGTATTTCCTTTTAGTTCTACTTCCATGAATTTTAATTCAAGATATTAATACAATGACATACAACACTGTATTTAGTTTAAGGTGTACAAATTAATGATGTGATATATGTATGTATTGCAAAATGATTACCACAATAAGTTTAACATCCATCACCTCACAGAGTTACAAATTTTTTCTTTCTCCTGATGAGAACTTTTAAGATCTACTCTCTTAGCAACTTTCAAATGCACAATGCAGTATTATTAACTATAGTCACTATGCTATATATTACATCACCAGGACTTATTTATCTTACAACTGGAAATTTCTACCTTTTGACCCCCTTTAACCATTTCCCCCACCCCCACCCCCGGCCTCTGGTAACCACTAATCTATTCTCTGTACTATGACTTTGGTTTTTAAAGATTCCACATATAAATGAGATCATACAGTATTTGTGTGCCATGCATTTTTTAAAAGCTAGTTAAGATATTTCTTCATATCTTCTTTTTTTTAAGTTTTTTATCATAAGCATTCTCCCATGCCACTAAAAGCTTTCCATATGCATTTTTAGTGGTGATAGGTCTTTCTGTTATAAGCTATGTACTACAGCTTGCTTAACCAGTTCCCTGCTTGTTGATAAAAAATTGGTTCCACTTTTATTTAACTAAAATAAAATAATAAATAAAAATAAAATAAACAAAACAATTTTAGGAGGCCACAATTTTACTTCATATTTAGGTAAACCCACGATAAGAACTTTCAGCGCTGCTATATCTGCTGTATTTTAAGGTAATTTATTTCGACAACAAATGCCATCAATTATTTATGTGTTTAATTGTTCAGTTCTCAAAACTGAATCAATTTCCAAGTCGGACATGGGGGAGGGTTGGGAGAAGGGCACCTCATTGCCATGCACCACTTACAACAGCAGCAGCAATGTTATCAAGTGCCTTACAGTCAACCAAATTTTTTTAGATCGTATAATACAGGATAATAAGACAGGTGCCGACAGGGGAATCTGGTGAGAATTCTGAGCCATGAGAATAGGAAGCCCACTATCCACAGCAGAGTCAGTAGTAGTAACGATTTTTCTAGCACTTCTTGTTCATTTTCTAATTTAATAGTCAACAACGCTTTTTGTAGAGTACCATAAAAAACGTATATAGTATTTTTAAAATACTGAAATATGAAATTGAATATTTAAATTTTAAAATATTAAGATATGAAACTTCTACTAGGCCTTACCACTGGGGAAGTGGAAGAGGAGAAGATTGTAGGTTTCTGTAAAAATCTTAACCTGCACATCAGTGGCTCTGAATTTACAACTATGCCAAAGAAATGTTACCAAAGCCACCTTAAAAAAAAAGGTAGGCCACCCCACCCTGAAAGAAAAAACCATCACACAACCCTACAGGGCAATAGCTATTTACAGCTCCAGGCCAAGAAAAGCAGGAAATACATTTCCTTTTGAAAACAACACTCCAAACATTTGGCAGTAGCATAAATCAAAATAGAAACAGTGCTATATATATTTTTTCACATGTTGTCCAGCACTGGAGAATTGTACTGTTTTCTATAAAATCCACCAACTAAATGCAGCCATTCAAATACAACCCTTCCCCCACCAAATAAAGTTAAAAAGAAAAAAATGATACAAACCACTAGAAATTAAGAAGTCATTTTCCTTTGGTGAATGATTATCTCATCCAGATTAACAGCATGGGGTAAACGCATTTACCTTTTAAGAAAAAATCCAGTCACAAGATGCCATTGTCTTTTCAATTTGCTTCCGTTCTGACTCCTGTTTTTCAGAAATGACGAAATAATTGCTGCCACCGCCACCATCAAGCTAAGTTGCAATGATTTTATCTAAACTCGAGGGCATACTTCCTCTTTGAGGCTAACGCTATATATTTTCCAATCCCATAAGCAGAGAGCTTCTTTTGTATCTTTTGGCATATGAATGCCAGAACACAGTGGGATAAGACAAGTTTATTTCTTTTTTTTTTGTGCGTGTGTGTGTGTGTGTGTGTGTGTGAGGAAGATTAGCCTTGAGCTAACATCCGAAGCCAATCCTCCTCTTTTTGCTGAGGAAGATTGGCCCTGGTTTAACAACTGTGCCCATCTTCTTCTACTTTATATGGGATGCCACCACAGCGTGGCTTGACAAGTGGTGCCTCAGTGCGCGCCTGGGATCAGAGCCTGCAAACCCCAGGCCACCAAAGTGGAGGGAGCACACTTAAATGCTATACCACCAGGCCGGCCCCGACAAGTTTATTTCTAATTAAGTATTTCATGAGTATTTAACCACCATGCCAGATATTGTGGGGGTCACAGCAGTATGACATTCTCATTGTTGTCAAGCGTCTTATAGTCTCCTTTATTCTAACCATGGAGATGAGGTTGATCAAGAAAAATGGAGAGCGAACAGTGTTAAGAGTTAGGTGCCAGTTGTGTAGAATTTAAGTGTGTTAAAAGTATGGAGATCCTTTCAAAGGGAAGGCAAATCATTTATTTATAAACTTTTATCCATAAAATAATATTAGTAAACATACTCATTAAATAAACAAGATGGGCTATACAGTGGGCTAGGTGCTGTGGATTTTTCAGACAGCAAGGCAGCCCTCCTGCAGCCTACCGTCTAGCTGAGAAAAAAAATGACAAACAAGAAAACAACAGATTAATCATGGCTTGTGTTATGGGCCATGAAGGAGAGAAGCAGAGCGCCATGCCAGAGAGTAAATGATGGGAGAATGCGTTTAGATAAAATGGATGAATGGGGAAGGCCTGTTCACGGAGCAGCCGTACACACTGAGAACCAGAGGACAGGAAAAAGCTGGTGAGGCGGAGAGCCCAGCTGAGGGGAAGACACTTTCAGGCAGAGCAACTCACAGGCCTGGAAGAAGGGAAAAGCCGGCAGAGCTGGTGAAATCAGGCAAGGCTTCGTGCAGGTAGACCGGGAGCATGGGTGGGGTTTGGAGGGAGGGGGAAGAAAGGGACTGCGTGAGGAGTGCCCCAGGCCCAGGACTGGCTGCTGGGGTTCAAGTGTCATATTTCTGGGATATCAGCATGGTTCAAGAGTGAGACATTTGTAAGGGGTGGGAAGTAGAAAATAGTTACAGAGACTTGAGCCAGATTGTGGAAGTCTTTAAAGCCAAGCAACATATATATTTTAAGTATTAATAAGGAACCACTGAAGGTTTTTGAACTGGGATGTAATCTGATAAACATGGCCTTTCAGAAGATTATACCACATCATATAAGATAAACTGTGGGTAGAGAAAGAGACAGGGAAACAAGCCAGGGGAGTCTGACAGTAGTTTAGGTATTGAATAAGAGTGTGAGCAGCAGGAATGGGGAGGAACCCAAAGGTGTAATAAGACTGGAAGTTACAAGACTTGGACCTGGATACAGCGAATGAAATGCAGGATGAGTCAATGATTACTTCCAGGTTTTGAGTCTCGGTGGCTGAGAGAATTCAGTTTTCATTCACTCCAAAAATCATTTATTGAATATTTACTATGTGCCAAGTACTATTCTAAGTTCTGAGGACACAATGGTGAGCAAAACGTGGCCTTTTCCTACCTTCATGGGACCTTCAGACTAGTAAAAGAGGCCGTTACCACACAGGGAAATGGTAAATCATAGCAATTATATGTGCTGGGAAGGAGCAGAGCCCCTACTGTGTGCCTATGATAAGGGGAACCAGGAAGGCTTCCTGGAGGAAGATGAGGCAAAATCTGAAGCGTGAGCTGGAGTTCCATCAGGCCTAGAGAGGGGGAATGATCAGGGAGAACAGAATATTAAAATTCAAAAGCTCTGTGCCAGAAAGGAGGGTAGGAAGTCCCCCCAAAAAGGCCAGTGTGACAATAGCCAAAAGAGCAAAGAAGTGTGTAAGGTGACGCTGGAGTGTTGGGGGAATATGGAGCAGGGTGGGGATGAAGTTGAAGAGGCAGGAAGGGGCCAGTTCCCTCAGAG